TCCTGTGCAATGGAAGGCTCAGCCAGCCCTGCTCTGATCCACGTATTTGTAGCACCAAAGAGGATTTTCAGGAATATTTTTGTCAAGCATGGAGATTTTTTTTAAAACATTTGCCTGGTGCCAAATGCAAATGAAGGAGAAGAGTGCTTCCCTAAATTCCTGATGAACAGGAAATGTGGAATTCTGACAGCAGCAGGCTGCTGTGGGAACAACTGCACTGTTAAAAATGCATTGGTGCTATTGCAGAATGAAGGGAAAAGCTGCAGATTGACATCCAGGAGACAATTCCTGATGTCAACAACCTGAATGTTTTTCTCACAGAAAAAAAAAATAAATAAAAAAGAATCAGAGAAACTTATGTTTTTTTAATGCACCGAAGCATTAACTGCTTCCATTTTATTGACTTGCCTGTGTAATTTAAAGCCCAAGCTGTAAGATTGTTCTGGAATAAAAAACCCCACAGCAAGCAAACCCTGAATGCCATGGTAAGGATCCCATTTTTGGTGTCAAACACCATTTTCCTCCTTCTTAAAGCTGCTCAACAGGCAGTGCCAGGAGAGGATTAAAGCCACATTACCCTGCCCCTTTACAGGCTTTCTCCACCTTCCAGCTTCCCAGTTCTATTTTGCTGTTTCCTTTTTTTTAAAAAAAAAAACAACATTTTTAAAGCAAGCTGCATAGCACAGGCTTAAACTGGGGAAAGAAATGCACCCCAAGGGAAAAACGAGGTTAGAAAATTGCTTTAAAGCCAATCATGACCTTGCATAATCCAGATTTCCAGGAGACCACTTGAAGCCAAGCACTGCCCTGACACAGGAGGGAGAGCAAACATTGAGTATCAGCAATGAAGGAGAAGGAGCTGATAACCAATAAAAACATGTAAGGCAAAAGAGAAAACTCAAGATTTAATCATTGCTTCACCACAGTTTGTTCCTAATCAAAGTCCTTAAGAATAATCTGGTCTTGAATCCTGAAAGAGGATCGTATTAATCCAAAGAAAATGAATTAGCACCAAAAAGAGATTAATAAAATGTTCTGGGACACAGGCAGCACAAAATAACCCAATCAGTAAAGGAAAAAAAATCCTCTCGTGCCCTTTTTTAAAATACAGACAACTATGTCATACTCTTGTGAGAGACAACAGCAATTTCACTTTTAAAACGTTTTAAGTTCAATAATTCAAAGAGGTGAAACAAACAAAGAAAAGCATTTATGGATATCACACCTTCTCACCTGACCTGCCACCCCATCCTTCCATGAGCAGAAAAAGCAGCTGCACTTTTAGCAGCCAACACTCAAACGTTTCAGTGCTGGAGGGCAAAAATAAATCAGTGGATTCCCAGAAATCTCCTCCAAGTTCTGCAAAATTCCAAACAAAACCCAAACCATCACAAGCAACAAAAGAGCACGAGAGCTCCTGGAAATTATTCTGCGTTTTTCTATCTTTGATTCCTCCCTTCCCAACAGAGCTGCTGTGGGGAGGAACAGGAACCCCCAGAGACCCAGGGCCAGCAAGGGCATCCTGCTTTTGCAGGGGGAGGAAACCAGGAATGGGATAAACCAGGAATGGGATAAACCAGGAATGGGATAAACCAGGAATGGGATAAACCAGGAATGGGATAAACCCAGGGCTGGGACAGACCCAGGGATGGGACAAAATCAGGAATGGGATAAACCAGGAATGGGATAAAATCAGGAATGGGATAAACCCAGGGCTGGGATAAACCAGGGCTGGGATAAAATCAGGAATGGGATAAACCCAGGGCTGGGATAAACCAGGGCTGGGACAAAATCAGGGATGGGACAAACCCAGGGCTGGGTTTATCCCAGGGCTGGCACAAGCCCACACTGCACAGGAACCTGGTGTTCCACACATCCTCCTCCTCCTCCCTCTGGACCCGATTTCCAGGGAAGGGGCGGAGCTGGCGACGGGCGGGACCCGCCGGGGCATCGTGGTGTCCACTCTGGACACACATCTGCTCTGCTGCCATGTCATTTCTATTTAAACAACTTGTCTCTGTGGGAAAAGCCTGATGCTGGTGTGAGCAGGACAGGAATCACTCCCCAGAGCATCTCTCAGTTCTTTGCCACCAACTGCTGCTGCTGGTGCCCCTCAGCAGCCCTGGGTCACCCCAGCAGGTCCTGGGACAGCAGCAGAGCTCGGGGGGCTCTCACTGGGATAAAATCCAGCTTTTCCAGCAGCAGGAACACCCCCATGGCACAGCAGTCACACTGTCACACCCTCAGTGCTCCTTCCCCAAAAACACCCCAGACCATCAGGAGCTTGCTGGAAGAGATTTTGGGGGATGTCACCGATCCTGCAGGGAAAGGCACCTGCAGGAAGTTGGGGAGCAGTGGCAGAGCAGAAAGGACACAATAATTGAAACGTCCCTTGTTGCTGACAGTGCCCCTAAGGCATCAATCATTTCACTTCTCAATTCCACAAAAGTATTTCCACGAATCTCTGAAAGCTTGAAGGGATCTGGGACCACAGAAATGGTAAACACGAGAGGATAAAATGTTATCCATGGCAGTTTTCAACTCGGTTAAAGTGGATTGATCAAACCACTGAACAGCTCACGTGGCCTCCCCTAAGGCATCATTTGGGTTTTTTAAAAAAGAAACCCAGGGAGCTCCTGCAGCTGCCCCTGGAGCCTGGGACCAGCTCTGCTGCCCTGCCCAGTTCATCCCAGCACAACCAGCAGAGCCCAGAGCAGGAGCAGCCTCTGCCTCACACAGGATTCCTCCAGAGACTTTTCCCAGCAAAGCTCCCTCCCCTGAGTGAGGAGCTCAGGGCTGCTGCTGCTGAAGTGCAATTGCTCTTCAGGAAGGGAAAAGAGCTGCTCCTCTCATATAATTTTTAATAGGACTGATTCATCTTAATGTCAAGAGAAAGTTGTGATGGAAGGATAAACTCATGCATCACAGAACAGCACTTCACCTGCCAGAACTGCTGAACTGCAGGGAGCAGGCAGAGAAAACAACTCCAAGTCACCAAGTGCAGACACTGGAGTACAAAGCTGCTCTGAAATTATATTTATTATTTATTAAACGATATTTAACACCTGCTTCTGCAACAGTGGGGCTGCATCAGGCTGGGAGAGATCCCGAATGCTGAACCAGACAAACTGCCAGACTTGTTACAATCAGTTTCAGTTCAGCAAGAAACATAAAACCACCCAGTTGTGATTTCAGATCTTACTGGAAATAGCAAATTAAAGCCCAGTTTATCTGAAGAATGAAACTCAGTGGTACTTTAGTCTCACCCTGCAGGATGGTGCACAAGTGGATCCCAGCATTGGCTGGGTCATGTTTAACTCCCTCTCACTTGTTTAAAATCTAAGTTTATGTTAATGTTTTTATCAGGAAAACACCCCCATCAATTCCTGTCCCCAGGCTGCACCTAGAACCAGGAGAAGCATAAGGTAAGGCTCACACACCCAGCCAAAAACTTGTATTTTGTGACAACCAACATGAAAATGTATTTAATTAGTAGGCGACATTTCAAAGCTGTTGACTTTAACTTTCCTGCTTCACTTGACATATTTAGCTGAAGGCAAAACAAGGCTGTTTTCCTGTTGGTATCTCACACTAGAAGAGAAATCAAGTGTCCTTTCCACTGCTCATCTTCCCTTTCCCCCAACAGGAAAATCAACAGCCACACACACACACACACACACACAGGGGATTTATTTTTGCTGGTATAATCAGCATCAAGAGGTTTTTTTGGTTTTGTCATTTCTACGAGTTCCTTTCATGCATTATGTCAGTAAGAAAAATTAAATTAACAGAGAAATTCGAGAACTCTGAGCAGGCAAAAGTAAACACAGAACAGAGACTCGGTTTCCATGCCAAAAATGATGCAAAACTGCCAGCAGCCCTCGTGCCAAGTCCTTTGCGTGCTGAAAACATGAGTAAAGAGAAACCACTTCAAACCCATCTAAAGGTACTAAAGCTGCAATTCACTTCCCCACAGCCCTGCAGAGAGCCTGAAGGTGTGCTCCAGTCCAAGCTGACAAGAGGCTCCAGCTTTTGTTCCTCTCCTGAGCAATTAATGCAGCTCAGCAGGAGCGCAGTGCCCAGAACCATCCCTCTGGAATTGCAGGCAGAGCCAGAAGCAGCTGCTGGTGGGCAGGAGAGGCTGAGCCCACTGCCAGAACTGCAAACTACAAATCCAATGAATCCCTGAAAAAATGGAGAGGAGGAAGGGGAGGAAGGAGGGAACAAGGCCACCAGGGCCAGGCACCACCAGGGACATGAGCACCCAGGAAAGTGTCTGTGCTGTAGCTCACAAAATAATTGCAAAAGCTTGGAAGGAAGGTTTATTCTGATAGCAACAGCCTGTGGTGATCTATGTCTGTAAACAATACATTGATAAGCAGAGTTTATTATGTGCTCAGGACTTCAATAAAGCAATAATGAGCAGCAGCAACAGCAAATTCCCAGAAGTTCCCAAATCTCCTGCTCACACACCTGTGGCAGGTGCCAAAGGAGCCCCTGAGCCCTGCCTGGGAGCAGCTGAACCTTTCAGGGCTGCAGTCACACAGGAAGGGGCAAACACGGCCCTGCTCGGGTCCCTGGCTTTTCACTGCCAAAGAATGAAGCCCTGAGGGCACCTTCAATGTTATTTTCTATTTTTCCTGATTAAACCTTGGTCTGGTGTCCCTTCAGCTGAGATGCAGAGGCTGCCACAAGCCAGCCCTCATCCCAGAGCTGTGCTGGAGAGAGGGCACAGCCCAAATTGATCTTCCCAGGAAAAATTTAACTTCCTGAGCCACGGTTTCCTGCCAAGAGCAGACTCCAAGTTCACCTTTCTGTTCAGGGATCACCGTGAGAGCTGCCCCAAACACAGAGCTGGGCTTTTATAAAAACCAGCTCCCATTTCAGAGGGTAAAGATTCACCCACCAGGAGCTGCAGGATGGGATCCAGGCTGAGAAATTTCCCCCCCCTTCTGGAGCCTGGGGCAGGGGAAAGGAGATGATGGGAGAAGGTTCCTTACCAGTTTGAAGTCTTGAATGCTGCAGATGAAATAGGGAGTGTTCGGCCGCCGACTTTCGATATAAACGCAATCTTTGAAAAAACAAGATTTTACAATAATGGGCATTAACTTCTGTGCCTCCAAGAAAGAACATTCAAAACAGGATAAATTCAAAATACAGCTTAAACTTTGAAAGCACCACCATTTCATTTGCATAACGTGTAATTTATTCTGAGGGTGATCTAAAAATAGAAACTATTTATGATGATAAATAAGGGAATTAACTGCATAAAAATGAACTTTGATTTGAATAGACATTTTGCTAGAAAAACAAAAAGAAAATAATTTAAAGACCGCTCTGGATTGAGTTAATAACAATGACCAGGTCACAGCCTATGAACCAGACCAAAATAAGAGAGGAAAGTAATCAGATTTTTCGTGGTCAGCTTGCCATTAAGAACTGAGCACTAACATATTTTCTCTTCTAATTGTGAAGAAAACCAAGGCAACCAATCATAGATGAAACCCAGCAAACTTAAATTAGATTTACCTCAGGGAAGGCCTGCGCTTTCTCGAATTACATTTGACAAGACAGAAACACAGTAATTATTTCTGTTTGCTTTTGACAACTGGGCTCTCCGAGGCTGCTGGAACATAAGGTCTGCTGGATTCAAAACAGTCTTGGCAATAACTACAACAAAAGCAGTGCCCTCGGAACGAAAACATGGCAGGGATGGCAGAGCAGTGCCTGATTAATGATGCTGACCTTGGAACTCTGCAAACTCACACACGGGCTTGCTAAACACAAAGATGCCAGCCCCAAAGCCAAGCAAATATTTAAAGGACAGTGCTGGTGTCCCCTCTCACACCCAGATAAGGAACTGCTGCTCAAAACACAGCAGAGACAACAAACACTGTCCTAGGAGGGATCTCCCAGGAGCTTTTTTGGATTTCTACAGAAAACCTCCAAAATTCTGACTTTGGTGAGACACATTTCAAAGCACAGCTCCATTCGATCCCGTTTATTTGGAAGCTCCAGCGATTTCACCACATCCCAGAAACTCCTGCAGGCCTGGTTATCCCACATTTCCTTGGCTTTTCCTGGCACTGGGACAAGCCTGCAGCCACTCCATCAGCTGAGCCACCCATTCCCATCCTGCTCCCTGCAGGAGCTTTTTGGGGATTCTGTGTGTGTGAAAAGCTGCGAGGTTTCAGACACACACAACACCACAACTTGCAAGATTTTTTAAATTTTTTTTTCTTTTTCCCCCTCTGTATCTTGCCTGTGCAAGCCTCATTTTGCAGAGTTTTATCAGGCAGCAGCAGAACAAACCCCAGAGCATCCCTGTGAAATGGCTGGCACAGAGTGAGGGGATGTGGCATCTCCGATGGATAAATGCATTGGAGGGAGGCACTGCTGGCTGCCTGCCAAGCCCTAAAACAATGATGACATCCACTTACAAGTCTCCAAAGCACGAGAGAGGCCAGGCAGATAAGAAAAACAAGTTTATCCAGGTGCACAGCAATGTTGTGGATGATAGAAACTCCAAAGACGCCCCCCAGAAAAGGAGAATATTTACAGGTGCACTCACAGCAACCACTCAGAAAGAGCATAAAGAGCAATTCCTTCCATCTACCAGAAATCCAAGCAGCTTCCACGGGGACCCAAGAAAAGGAAAAACTGCATTATCAGTTTTTTAATAAGCAACAAACCTGCAGAGGTGAGATTTATGGCACTGGAAGCTGCAGAACAGCCCCTTCCCCATCCTGGAATGTGCCATTGTACCTTCTCTCCACTGAGCACACACTTCTGGAACAATTTCAGCTCTCTCTGGCTGCACAGAGCTCCTGCACAGCCTTACACAACTTCAGTCAAGTGTAATTGAATTTCTTTGACTGAAGGACAGCCATCCTCACACGTCCCCATTTACCAGGAAACAAGAGCAAGGATGAAGGCAGCAAGCACAGGGGAAATGGGTGAGCTGCAAACTCCCCCTCTGCCTTTCCCCACAGGTAACATCCCTGTGGCAGCTGCCAAGGACAAGTTCAACATCTGATGTGTTAAATCACAGAGCTCAGCAGTGACAGACCAGCAAATGCTCGGAAAGGAAAGAAAATTAACAAAAATAAAAAACGAAAGGGCTTTCCATAAGCTTTGCAAAGCAGAGGAAGGAAATGCTGAGCCCCCTGCACTGAGTGGATTCCCTGCCTGGCTGCAGCCATGAGTGCATTGCTCACTTCCCTATTTCGTGTAAAATGTCCCACTGGAGATGAAGCATTTCCCCAACACATGGTACAGAGTCATTCTGCCTTTGGGCTTGTGATATTCACCAGATGTGCCCTAGTTCTGAAGGGTTACATTAATATTCCCACACTAAAAGCTGCTTTTAAAATTAGAGCTTCAGTGCATGGACATGAAAAATTCTCTTGGAAAAACACCCCAACCAGCTCCATTTTCTGAACCCTCAGCAGCTCAAATGCTGCAGTGTTTGTAGTACCCATCCTGACAATTAAAATCCTTTCATGTTTTACCTAATGAGTCAACATTTCCATCATCCCAGGGAAAAGCCCTGGGCTCTCTGCACAGCACCACACTTCCAACAGGGAAGGTATTCCTGGAAAGCCTTTGTCAAGGAATTATCCACAACCCCTGCCCTGTGTTTCACCAGGCACAAGCTCACTCTGCATGTGTGTACAGACATGGAGAAACCCTGAATTCCAGCACTGGGACCAGCAACCGAAGGATATTTACACTCCTGAATTAAGGAATATTTACATTCCTCCATGCTGCTGCCTGGAATTAAAAGGCTGGATGGTGCCAGTGCCCTGTGCCAGCCCCTGAGCTGGCAATGCTGGACCCTCCCCCAGAAACTGCCCTGAGCCAGGGGCAGTGGGAAGCCCAGGACCCTCCCAGTTAAAGAGCAGTGAGATGGGACTGGGGCAGGTCCAGCAGTCACCCACCATCCCTGCAGCCTGAAATCTGAACTTGCCTGCATTCCAAGTGCAGGAAAACTGCCAAACCCTGGCAAAAACAAAGGTCAGCAGTGGGGACAGAGCTGCAGCAGCAGCAGCAGCAGCAATCCCTGTGGCAGCAGGGCTCAGTGACAAACACACAGAGCAGGGCTGGCAGTGCCAAACACGTGCTCTGGACTCCAGCAATATTCCCACTGACAGGTAGGGAGCTGAGCACTTGCCTCTCTTCCCCCATATGGCTGACAACAAACAAATTGCCAGTCTGATCTTTTAGTGTCACTTCCTGCTGAGCACATTTCAAGCAACGCTGCTGGCTCCTTGTCAGGGAACGACGAGCTCGAGCCCTGCTCTGCAATAAATGGTTCAACCAATTTACTGTGCTCATTTGAAGCTCACAGGAGTATTCCCAGTGCCTGGACTATAGTTCTTATTTGGCAAATGATTTTATTATAAACTGGTATCATAGTGAATCCATTTTCTTTAAGGGGTTCTGCTGCTGTTTAATGGACTGTCAGTATAATTTAGATTTCATCTATTTAAACCCATTCAAGCCTGGCTCCTGATTGTACAATAAATGGAACATATTTCTATTCAACAAAATTAATGACAGCTAATTGTACTCTGCAGTTCCCAATTTCATAAAAGCAACTGTTCTGCAGCTCAGGCCCCCAGCTACATCATTTCCCACACCAATTATTTTCCTGCACTTTTCAAGCATGTCCACAACACTGCACAGCTCTCCTTGTAAGCAGCACTCACACATCCCTGGTTAACAGGTCTGCTACAAAGCAAACAGGTTTTTACACCAAGTTGTGTCACCAGAAATGTCACCCTGCAAGCAAAGACACCGTGGCTGCTCGTGCCAGGGGCTCCCCCTGCCTTGGAGTTGGTTTTTTTTTGTTGTTTTTTTTTTTCAATTAAACACATGAAAAGGGAGGAGGGGTGGGAACAAGAATCCAGGCTGATAAAAGAAATTAATTAAATAACCAGTTAGTCTGAAACTCCTCCTCCAGCACCAGATAAGCTTTGCTGCACACATTGCCACTTCTAACAGGATTTTTTTCTGGCCCTTTAGAGCTACAGAAAACTTTTGCTGCAGGTGCCACACCTGCCCCCAGTGCTTGATATTCCACCAAATCCCCGTGGAGCCACTGCCTCCCAAAGCTCTTCATGGGCAATGTGGGAGACACAAGGGACAAAGCACCAGAAATGCACCACAGGACCTCATTTATTTATTTTAAACAGCCTCAAGCACGCCAAGAGAGCTTGGACAACTCTGCTACTCCCAAGCCCATCACAAACACCAAGTTTGTGAATATCCTTAACCCCTGTCCCTCTGCTGTCCTCATGAATTAAAGTGGAGCACAGCACAGCCCCTCACCACCACACGGATGGGCTTTATTTGTGCATCCTCAATATTAAAATGACAGCCACTCCCATTTCCCTGCTAACTGAGCCATCCCTTCACCTCCCTGACCAGGAGCCCATCCCATCAGCTGCACGTGCAGCCCTGAACACACACGTCCAGAGGAGGAAAATGAAATTTGTCACTTGACACAGGAGCATTTTGAGGATTTCCAGCACGGCAGCCCCAGAGCCTGTGGGGATGCAAACCCTGAGCCTCAATCCTGCCTGCCAGCCTGAGAGCTGCAAACACCCACTGAAAAAAAAAAAAAAAAAAAAATCACCTTCATGTTTCACAATCTCCTGAAAGGAAAAGCCTTTTCCTATTTGTGAGCAGCTCTGAGAAGCCCTTCCTAGAGAACACAGCAGGGCAGCAGCTGTGAAGCTGAGCTTACAGAAGTGTGTTTATATTTGGATCCAGCACTGGTGGGGCACCTTTCCTCCTGCATTTTCAAGCCTAATGATGAGGTCGGGATGGAAAACTAATGGTGAATGCACATCCCCAGAGGCACACACACCCAGCCCTGGGCACCCCCAGCCCCTCTGAGCTGCTCTCTGTGATTTATCCAGAGCCAAACAAAGCCAGAGGAATCCATTTGCCAGCTCAACCTTGATCTGCACTTAAGGCTCCATCTGTCAGCCCCAGCAGCTGCCCTGGACACAGCAGTGCCTTCCCTGCTAGAAGGAAATGGGAACTCAGAAAATGTCTTTTTTTATCCAGTCTGGCTCCTGCTCACTGTTTGTATTAACAACAGGGACAAAAGTTCCCTCTGTGCAGCAGGGGCTGATCGGGGCTCTGGTGCAGAATTGATTATTTTCCATGCTCAGAATTATTCAGCTGCTCACCTGATGTGTGAAATCCAGCCCTGTCCCCACGGCCACTGAGGAATTCCAGCCCTGGGATGTGCCCAGCTCCAGCCCCAGGCTGGCCCTGCCCTGTGCTCACTTCAACAGCCCCACAGAAAACCCTGCTGTGATGTTCTCATGCCCTTTGTTAACTTCCTGACACGTTTTAAGAATCACCCACTAACCCAGGCCTCCAACATTTTTCCTTCTTTTCATTACTAAAGGAAGAATGGGCAGAGAATTCATTTGTTTCCTTTGAAACCAAAGTTTGGAAGATAATGTTTTTGCTAAGTTTTCCTCACCACCATTCACATATGGAGAAAAGTTGAAAACAGTGGTGGAAGTGTGAAAAACAAGGGGACTTTTACAACCACACGAAGCAGCACAGCTCCTAAGGTTACTTCTATTTACAGCAGCTGAAAGTCTGTCACTGAATTATTTCAACAACCTCCTATCACAATGGTAACAGACTTTCAAAAGAAGAGGAAAATACAGATTGCACTGCTCTAGAAGACATGCTCATATCAACTATGGAACTTCTGAGGGAAGAGAAGATCACACGTGGAAAAATACACATCACAAACCTGGGCACCCCACACAACAGCCAAGGCAAAGACCCCCTAAAATTACAATGAACAGCTGAAAGAATCCTTTCCTTGCCCTTCTTCCTTCTGCCCAGCCAACAAATTAAAATTAAAACCTCCCAGAAAATAATGAACTTCCCTCTTTCCAGCTTCAGCAGCCCAAAATACACTTCCCAGAACTTCAAAAGCTTATAGAAAAAAAAAATCCAGTTTGAATGATGTGTATTTTTATATCGAATTCTTGCATGGCCACTTTTCCCAGCACCTGCAGTCCCACACCTCAGTTCCCCCTGCTCCATGTGTGACAAACATTCCCTGCAGGAACGATTCATTCCAGCACCATCTCCCCCTGCCCCAGCTCCTGATGTGCTGCTTGTACAGCCCCTGATGGCACTGCACAAACAGATCCTCAGAAATCCTTTTAATTCCTGCACATCCTTCCAAATGTTCCTGTGCAGGCAAAGCAAACAACACTGTCCCCATGGCCAGGTGACAGTCACCTGTTCAAACCTGCTCACACTTCACCCAGAGCTCCAGGTGCCACCACAGCAGCCCCAGTGCCATGGCTTTAATGCAGTAACAGCCCTTCCTGAGGTGGATTTTGGTAAAAAAACAGGGGCATAGAAGGGATCAGTCTGCTTGGGAAATGGAAGGAAAATCAGCATTAAATGATCTAACTGAAATGCAAGAGGAGGAAAAAAAAACAAAAAAACGAAACAACTCAGTCTTAACACAACTCTCATTGTCATCTCCCTATGCTAAGGAAGCCTAAAGCAAATTTGAGTATACACTGTGAAACAAAAATTAATTCTACTCCAACAGGCATTCTGACAACAGCAAGGTGAGAACTGCAGGGGAAAAAATAAAAAAAAATAAAAAAAAAAAGAAGGAAAACCCCAGAGATTAGATTTGAGAGGAAATGGGAGGGAGGTTGTGGAAACTGAGAGGACAGATGGGGAACTGGGCCAACAAGCTTTTAGGATAGGCCTGTGTGATTTCCAGCAAAGTAGAGAAGATTAATTGCACAGTGTTGTCTAAGCCCTACTCAATTCCTTTTAATACATTATTTAAAGCTGTGCACGCATTCATTATATCTATGCAAATTAATAAGAGCAATATTTACATGGTAACAATACAGTGAAACCTTTCACTTGAAAAAAACTCAATGATCCTGATTATCTGTTTATTTACAGTTTATTTGCTATTACTCCAATACAGCTGCTGAGCTTAGCACAGGAAAAAAAAAAAAAAAAACAGAATTAAGTGCTGGATTAAGTACTCTACAGCAATGGGGTAAACACAGAATGAGACTTTAACCAAGAAATGCAGACCTTGAACTTTCGTCCATAGCAGATGAGAACATTTAAGAGAAAGAATCAAATGATTGGAAAGGATTTCCTTTCCTTAAAGGCCAGATGATGCAAGATGAATACAGCTATCCCCTCTGCACACACCTTTAATTTTTCATCTTTCTAATCCTTGCTGTGTCTCATTAATTTAAACTCTCTAATTCCTCTTAAAATGAATGTAATTTTCACCCTTAGCCACACAAACTGTACATAAGGAGCTGGAAGAGCTCCTTCTGGAATGGATGCTCACACTGGTTTACAACACCTCCAGCACTGGGATGTGCATTCAAGATCTTGCTCCTGATTAGAAATTACCTTTAAAATCAAATTTTGAAATATATTCAGTGAAGGTTTCAGCCGTGCTCAGGTCCCTCCAGAGCTGAGCTCATGTTTGCTCTCATCACTCTGAGCAGTTTCCAAGATGAGTTTTGTAAGAGCACAAAGAGCCAACACAACAGGAAAGTTCCAATGCCAGGGTACATCTCTTATGCTGATTAGTTTTAACAAAATGTAAAATTCAATGAGCAGAGGTTTAAGCGACAGAACAGTCAGAAAATATCCCCATTATCACAAAAACACTGTGGGCTTTCCTTGCTCCTTCCCTGGACAACCTCCTCCAGATCAGCCACAGCCACTGCTCCATCCTTCCACAAGACAAAACTGAGACCACAAACTGATTTCCCATTTTCATTTTAAGCAAACTCTTTTTGCAATAAAGCCAGTGTATCACATTGTACTCCTGGGCCCACACAACAGCTGTTCTCAACAGATTCTGAATTATTTTTCATCCTCTGACACTGAAAATAAGATTGCCACCAAAGCTGACGCTTCTGCAGGCTCCCAGTTGCCGCTGCTCAAAAACAAATATTACTCAGCTACGAGCCCTGACACCACGGCAAGAACAGCTCCTTTGCAGTGATGGATGAAATGAGTGGAAATTGAAGCTGAAGCATTTCAAGAGAGAAGCTGTTTTGACTAATGCTGGTGGAGCCAAGTGAAGAACAGACTGCTCGAGGCTCCCGTGGAAGGAGGAGGAGGAGGAGGATGGAATGAGCAGCTCCCACCTGGACGTGCAGCTGCTCGTGCCCCCACACCCAGCACGAGCACTCTGAGCACTCCCAGCCACTCAAACTTGGATTCAGCACTTGGACCATTCCCATCTGACCTCGGGAGATTGGTGCAGCTGAGCCGAGCAGCTCCTGGCAAGGCACAAGGGATGTGACCTCAGTGCTCCCAGTCTGAGCCATCTCTGTCACTGCACCACAGCAACATCAACCTGCCAGCACCTCGGGGCACAGCAGCCAAACACAGCCACAGCCTGGGCGGGAACAAACTCCAGCAGCACCTCTGAAGAGCTGTGCAGACTGACTGGGAAGTCTGTACCCAAAAATGGGAGCTGGGTAATCTCATTTGAGTGCAGCTTGAGGAAAACATTCCCTGGAAGCAGCCACAGGTTAGACCTTGAAACCTTATGGGAGACCCTAAAAACTCCCTGTGAACTGGGCAGTAGTTGAGAGGCACATCCAGGACATCCAGAGCACACTGCAAGCTCCTGGTGCTGTCCCCAAAACACCCCTGACTGCAGCACTGCCCTAGAGCTGGGCTGAAATCAGAAATCAGTGGAAGAGCAGCTCTGAGATCCTCAATCCCCTGGGTTCCATCCCACAGAGCACAGCAGCAGAGCTCCCCAGAAAAGCTCCCCAGAAAAGCTTCCCAGAAAGGCTGAAGATGTCTCCACATCCCCCCAGCTCAGAGTCTTGCTCCAAAGTGGGAGTGAAGCATTTAATGCATTATCCAATTTAGCTTCCAAACTCCCAGGGACAGAGATTCCATATGATACACTGATAATTAATGCAGCACAAAGCAAAGGGTGGCTCTTCTCCAAAGGGGAGCTCAGTTCATTCCCACAAATCAGACACCACGAGATAGAGCCAGAAACTTTCACTGCACACCCACATTTGTCTGCAAGGGGAAAGGACAGGGATCAGCCCAGCAATGGGGAAAGGACAGGGATCAGCCCAGCAATGGGGAAAGGACAGGGATCAGCCCAGCAATGGGGAAAGGACAGGGACCAGCCCAGCAATAGGGAAAGGACAGGGATCAGCCCAGCCATGGGGAAAGGACAGGGATCACCCCAGCTGCCAGGAGCATTCTGTGCTGGCTGCACAACTCCGGGGCACAAGGACTTCCAGAGGAAACCCAAAGCCAGGTTTCCTTCCCCAAACCCAGAGCTCCTT